ATAACAAGTTCAACACACGTACGGAGTAACAGTCAATACATAGTCGATTTCTTGTAGGTACCGGGGGGGAGAGCCAGTCTACGTAGGTAGTCCACGTACCGGTACCTACACCACCGCAATGATGCATCTACGTACTCTACTCTACACCGGACAGTCAGCATCAGGCCTCTGCCCGCCCTGTTTCGTCTGCAAGCGGGCGACGTGCAGGCACTGCCCTCGTGCGCACAGCATTGTATTTGCAAGCAGGCGAAACAACGGGCATGGCCTGCATAACGGTGCATCGATCTTTCCTCTGCCTTTGATTGGGAATGGGCAACAAATACACGACAATGCCGTATCTTCCGGCGTAGCGTGTTGGTTACAGGAGAGACGGTGCTTTTTAAGCTGGTCCGCCTGAAGTTACCATGGTAAGGTAGCCGTGGTCCTCAGCCACTCAAAAGACTTGGTGCCCGTTCCTGATGCCGTGCTCGCCGCTCCCAACGTGCAAGCTCGTCTACTGGTAGCCTCGCATCTTCCCTTTTGCCCATGGAGCGCGTCCAAGGTTTCCATGGTGTGGCCTCATCCCGTCTTTGCCGGCGCCACTGCTGTGGCTAGTCGTGGGCGGTGACGATGCGGTGAGATCAGATCATACGAGAGCGAGCGAGCGGGTTTGGCAGGTGACGAGGTGACGAGGTGACGAGGCTAGCCTGCAGTAGAGAGGCTACAGTAGATAGCTAGCACATGCCATGGAATCTACCATGGCTTGGGATAGGCGTCAGAAAGTAGCGGTGATGGGAAAACGAAGATCAAACAAGACCATGTAGGGTATGGGTACAGTAGAGTATGTACTGTAACCACAGTCATTGGAGAAGGGCGTGCAAAAGATTCCCAGGCCTGCCCTCCACTTTCCCACACGTGGCGCCGGACCGCCGTCATGATGAAACCCAAAGTGCTAAGCCGACATGCTGGTAACTCTGTGCTCGCTGCCACACTGTCGCTTAACGACGATCATGGATGGACCACGGCTGGCGACGGCGCAATAGGGTCAGGGGGGATGAGGGCCCATTCCAATCGCCCGCCGTTGAGAAAGTGTGGTCTTTTTCGAACTTTGTATTGTGCCTACTGTGTACTCTACAGTACCTACTGCAGAGTACCTAGCTACCTAGCGTACTTGACGTTTTCACTGCGAGCTGCTATTTTTTTTTCTTTTTTGCGCTCTCGTGCTGCTTGCTCCAAGAAATGGATGGATGATGTGCAAGCAAGATGCAAGGCAACCCAAGGCCATCACATCGCCTACCTAGGTGTACAGTACCTACAGTACCTACTGACTGTAGCCTATAGCCAGGCACCCAAGTCGCGTGATGGCCTTTACCGTATTCCATGCCTCACCCCTGGCTTCGAGAAAAGAGGACGCAGAGGCAGGAGTGCCAGGATTGGACGCACCCCCTGAGCCTCTTCACAAATCAGACCACCGCACCCGCCCCCCTTGTTCCCTGCACCCTGTCTTCTGTCCCCTGCCCCCTTGTCACACAAAGCCCGTCTTTCTTCTTTCTGGTCTTTATTTCCTTTGCTTTGCCCCTCCTTCGCCCTCTTCCCTTCAGCTGTGCTGTGACTCTTTCGGGACGGAGACTGCGACTGGCTAAACGTACACATGTACTGGTAAACGGCGGTGTGAAAGGGAGTCCCAGGTCCTAGGTCCTCGTTGCTCTGCACCCAATCATTTCAATCTTCCGTACATGCACGTCTACCTACTATCGTCGTTTTTTTTTTAGTCCTCCGTTGTGCGCGAACACTCCGGTGGTAGCGTGTCGTGTCTTGTCTTGTCCCGACTACATGTCTCGTGACATCACTTGCCATGTCCTGTACACACGTGGTACTATCAACCACTCTGCTTACGGGTGCGGTGTGATTGCCCAGATAGAAGATGCCCCCAAGCGCCTCAATGTAGCTCAACAGAACAAAGCATGTACATACACACACAAACACAGCATGTACAGCTACCGAGGTCTGTAGTAGTAAATCTACCCAGACAAACATCTCACACTCAACCCAGACAAAAACGTGGGTGCATCCTTCTCGCTAAACCATCGCCGGCAGGGGGGGGGAGTTTGCCCAACTACCGTACAGTATGTACAATAACCAACATGTACAACACCGTTACATACCGCCATGTACCCGTACATGGCCAAAGCACGTGCCCGACAAGTGGGAACATTGGAAGGAGCCAACACCCAACTTCCGGAAATAGCCCCTCGCACGCTATCAAACCGCCCATCTGACCCGTCATGCATGTCTCCCAAGCCCCCAGTCCAGCTGAATGGGGGAAAATGGCAAATCGATGACATGCATCACCGCACCCACCCTAGTCTCCCGAAACCGAAACAAGAGAAACAAAAGAGAGAGAGAGGGCCCTGGATGCTGATGAAACATGCATGGCCAAATCTGCCGGCTGGGGGGGGGGGGGGGGGGGGGGCTTTTTTTTTTTCCTCCCTAAATGGTTTCCCTGGGAGTTCTGGGTTCCCTC